ACATCAGTTTAAGAATTTGAAACATGGTTGATAAGATCATAAACTGAACAATTAGCAGAGCGAAATTAATGCTATCTATAATGGTTAGAACTAGATTTACTCCTTTGTTTTACTACCCCTAGAATTGCCTGGGGCTACTAAAGGGAATATTTAATTCATCTGTTGAATTGACATATTTTTGTAACTAACTAACTTTTGTAACTTAACTAACCCCTGAATTTTTATGTGTGCTTCCAGAATCCAAAAAGTGGCATAACTCCTCGAACCACAACAATGACTTTTACCTGTTTTGTGTTTTTTGACCTCTTCAATGCCCTGACATGCCGCTCTCAGGTGAGATTGCTCTGTCAGCAATTACTTCTTGTCTCAAAACACTAACATAAACATTAGAATACCAGGATTTTGCATACGAAGGGAGGTTTTTAATGTCATTTAAAGCAACATGATTTTTATCATCTTTATAAATAAAGTTACCCGTCACAGTCCAACTGCAACTGCACTTTCAACTATGTAGCTCTGCCCAAGTTAGCATTTCTGGAACTTCAAAAAGTAATGGAGCTTACATGCAGAGAAACAGGGTGACATTGGAGTACCAACAGGAGAGTGTGAAATGTTACATTTCTCTTTTTTTTTTTCTTTTTTTTTCCCCCCCTTCTGTAGACAAAATTAATATTTGAAATAGGCTTTTTTCGAAACCGCATGTTCTTGTATTCTGTGCTTGGGTCGGTTTTGGGACAGCTGGCGGTGATATACATCCCTCCATTACAAAAGATCTTCCAGACAGAGAATTTAGGAGTGCTAGGTAAGTTGCATGTTTGTTTTTTTTCATTAAAGCTATTTTGAAAAGCAGACACGATTGCCCCAGTGCTACAGGATAACTCCCAGCAGACTGGCGGTGGGGGAAATCAGTCAGCAGCTCCGACACCCGTATACACACACACCGGTATTCACCATCAGGAGCAGTGTTTAATGACATCATCCCAGCCCAGGGCTTGCATTGTGATTTGCTGCACACAAATGCATGCGAACAGAGACACGCCAAGATTTCCCACAAGCTCTGCACGACGGGATTTCTCTAGATGAGTCTATCCCGGATCGTTACGCAGTCGGACCTCTCTGGAAAGGCAGGGGGAACGTTTCCTGGCTGGAAGGCAATGCCTGCGCCACCGTTTGAATCAGCCTAAGGAAACGCCGCCGTACCACGCTGTGTTGCATCTACCTCAGGCATGTTGTTAGAAGCAGGGTTCAATGATCCCAAATGATTAACGTAGAGGCTTCCACCCATCAAGTGGGTATTCCTTGTCTACCGCAGACACATCTCGTTCCACAGCTGGGCCGTACATCTGTGGAGTCACACCAGCACAAACACCCACCGCGGGAGGGCCCGTAACCGGGGGTTCCTGCCCAGCACAAAATCCAGCTGTCCACCGCATTCATCTCCGCTCTGTTTCCCCTCACCAGACCTGCTGTTTCTCACTGGACTGGCTTCCTCGGTTTTCGTCGTGTCCGAGTTCGTCAAACTCTGTGAAAAACACTGCTGCCCACCGAAGCACACGAAGGGATGTCGTAACTGACACAGACTTCCTCCAGAGATACACTCGGAACGGAGCTGTGATGCTGGATAATTCAAATGCACCGTTTTCTGAGGCCACACATCCTTTCTGAAGATACCCAAGTGAATCTGTTCTGACAGTCCTTCTCACGCCAGAGTCTGCTCCTTCCACACGCTCTACCTAAGCTGTTCGGGCTGTCTACAGAAACCTCCACTGGCACCTGTCTTAAACCAAGGTCAGGTATATTTTTATACATTGATCTATATGTCAAGAATGCTGTGATTGTTCCAGACAAAATAAGAGTTTCACACCTGTACAGAAAAAAACTATTGTGCATAAACTGAAATTTTATTTATTTAAATCAAAACGCTTTTTATTAATAAAATCTACATTTTAAAATGTTACTGACAAGTATCTGAATGAGATTTTTGATTTAGACCCGTCCTTTTATGTTAAATTATTAGAAGAACGGAAAAGACCTGCCTTCAGTAGCACTTTTCCTATAGTCAATCTACAGTGTTTCTAGATTCCCGGGTATCTGGTCTAGATTCAGCAAGACTCTCAAGGAAACGGTGGGGAGATCTCAAAAAAAGAGCAGAGAGCTAAAGTGCCAACCCTTGGCCGTCAGCTTTTGCTGATTTTTTAATTTTTTTTTTAATTTTTTTAACCTGTATGATTAACAGAGGCACAGCAGAAGGCTGATCCGATGCACAGTAGTGGATGGATTTAAAGGGGAAGGCACTCTCTTTCACAAGCCCATGAAGATAAAGGTGACTCCTGTACATAGCAGGGGTGTTAAGCTTTGCAGTTGGACCAACAGCTGCATAAAAGTGATCGAGAGATGTTTAGATTGCAGCCAAGCCCACTGCTGACAAACACTTGCTGGACGTATTTAGATGCATGAACACGAAGCATAGATTGCTTAATCACTAAGTTCAGGAAAAACGAAGAAAGTTGAGTCTCTTCCAAGCCAATCTCTTATATTTAAAGAACAATTTTGAATCATCCCATCTGCTGGTTGGATCAGTACTGTCCTAGTAAATAATGCTTCACTGATAACATTTACTAGAAGCGCCATTGTCTGTTTTCTTCTTGCCCCCGCTTAACACATTCACTTCAAAGTGAAGGTGTTGAGTCTCAGATACAAACTTGTCAAAACCCACAATTTCAGAGGCCAAAACGCTATGCTGATCTTCACAAGAGGATGCTTAAACAGGATTACATTCTGGATTCACAGCCTAGCAAGAACCAGCTCCGCTCATTCTTACTTTAAATCAAAGAAAACCTGGTCACTGAAGTATTTTTTGGTGAAGAGTAGCTTTGTGCAATTCACCCCCCCCCAGATACAGTCTGCAAGGTGACTGCTTGCTATTTTTTTTAGAATCCTTGCAAATGGTTTCAGTCCCCAAAGAAAAGTCTCTGCCTTGTAATGGAAGGAAAAGAAAGTCTATTGTTTATTTTATGTGTAACCGCAGAAACCCAACTATGTCTCACTCCCATATGCCATCCACTTTAAGTATTTAATACGCTTAGTCAGTGCCTAAGTGAAGAATACCTCTGAGACTGATGGTGGGAGTTTGAGAATGTGAAAACAAAAGTCAGCATCACCCCACTACAGAGAGCATCATGCACTTGCTGTCTATACAGCACTCCCTACTTTGTACCATTTAAAATTCTTATTAAAAATACAGAGAAGAAAATTATACAAAAGAGTAAGTGTAATTGTTTCAATGCTTGTATTTTTTCCTGTGTGTTACAAACTTGGGGGAGACTGGTTTATTTAAGCAAATACAAGATAAAAGGAAATTAGCTCAGGCTTTTCACAGCATACTCTGTACTGGAATAAATAGCATATATGCCCAAATCATCAGTCCAGGTGGCATAAACAATGCACAGTTGAGTTCTAGGATGTCTGGCTGGAGTGGTTTCTTCCTGCCCTCCTTTCAAAGCTAAATTCATATTGTTTAATAAAATTTTACAATATGGGATCTACATTAAGGCACAAGTGCAGATTATTCAGAACATTCAAATCTCCCTATGAAAAACATTGGGTAGATAAAAAAAAAGACCACATACAAGAAAATCCAAAGGGAAGGAGTTTGAAGGAAGGCCACATACTTGGGAATCGCAGTAATTTTATAGGCTGATACAACACATCTTTTGCTCTAAGCTGCAGGAAGATAAACTCATGCTAGGACAAAGTGGATTTGATACAGTCCTCCTCTGTAAGAGGAGAAGGACTGATAATCATACATACTAATAAGCAAACACAATTTGCTGAGTTAGAAATGACAATCCCTGGTAGAAATTAGTGTTATTTTTGACACATAGAATTAGCAAGGTCAAACTAGTAATTGCTGATAGATTTGAATGAATTCCAATAGAAAAAGCCCTGAGTAGAAGAGGCTTGACAAAACTGGCGTTGACTGGTGAACAGTCAACAAAACAGAGCTAAAACTCCAACCCACTCACTAGTTACATTTCACATTGCGGGCATGTTTTTCCATAATACAGCAGTGATTAATTATCTGGAAATAAAGTGTATAGCAGTCTTCTTCAAACATAAGAACCCTGATTATTTTAATTTTTTTTTACAAGGCACCTGCAGATACTGTTCCCAAACAACTGTAGATGCTTCTTACTTAATCCTTTCCACAGCCTGATCTTTCACTCCAGTCTCAAGTGAGGCTACTAAAGAAGGTAGCTTCCCCAGAGAATTTCTGGTATGGCCCATTCTTAGGATAAATATAAATATGGCTGAAAGAATCCCAATGGCTCTGTTCTACTAAGTTTAAAAAGCAATAGGGAAATTTCTGCAGTAATATCTTAAGTGAAATGCACTACAGTGTAGTATTACAAAATGGGATACTGTATACTTAGCACTCCGTACATCTTACATATAGAGCTGTTGAAAATCTGACTTAGGAAACATGAAATTTAATGCTTTAACTGGAGCAACGCAAATTAATAGCATCCTTCACATGGAATTACCTAGACTATTCTATGTTTCCCAATGCAAGACATGATTACAATTTGCAAGCTTTGCTGACTAATTTCAGCACATGTGAATAAATATGTGCAGCTGAGGTGTAAGAGCCTCAACCAGTGTGTTGAACAGTCTTTCTATAAATACGCATCAATTCTCCGAGTCAGTAAGCAGTACTGTCAATAACAACTTCTTTTGGTTTTAGTTCTGTGTGCAGACAGGCTCTAGCAGAAGCAAATTCACTCAGAGTGCCTAATGATTAAGTATCTAGTTAATTTTTCTGTCTTCCTCAAACAAAACCCTTCGGTATATTGTATTGGACCTAAATATTGCATTAGGATGAAGCTTTAGCTTCATGACAGGTAATTAGGTAAATGTAGGGGAAAAAATGAGGAAGAAATATCCTGTCCAAGGAATGTTAACATTCAGGAGCATAAAAAAACAGGTTTTGTGTTACTGTGATTCTTTTAATTATCCTCATCATCGTCATCCTCTTCAATGGGTTCTCGCAGGCCTTCGCTATGACGACTTTTTCCAGCCATTTCTAAAAAGGCTTGAGCCTCAGGATCTACATCCAGGATACTCTTCTTACCTTTTGTCTTCAAAACAAAATAAAATATAGTCAATTTAAGATGTCATTATGAATGACTCACTATCAGGCTACAACAAAGAGACATACTCAAAAGCCCACAAGTAATCTGGCTTGCAAGCCTCTCACCATGAAGCGTACACCCTTTCCAAGTAAGGCATTTAAGATTCACGGGGTTACATCAAATGATTTTTAATGCTGCAGTTACACAAAATAGTCATAAACTTCCTATGATGACAGTGAACTACTTCAATTTTATTCAGGTTACAAGCCAGCCAGAACATCCTGGTTAACCTGACCTCAGTTTGAAGTGCAGATGTGAACTCTTTTTTTTTTTTTAAAGCAGAGATTCAATCTCAATTCAACATTTTTTGTAAACAATTTGTTCTGTTTCTATTTAGAGCTGCGTGTCCAGAGAACAGATAGGGCACATGAATTTAGTATGAAAAGAAATAAAATTTAAAAAACACCACCACCAAATTGTTCAGACAGTTTAATAAGAGAATAAATTATGAGGACAGAGGAGACTGGCAAGAGGTCTCCTACTCATTCCCAGAAATAAATCAGAATTTAGTATGAAAAGAAACAAAATTTTTTTTAAAACCCACCACCGAATTGTTCAGACAGCTTAATAAGAAAATAAATTACGGGGACAGAGGAGATTGGCAAGAGGTCTCCTACTCATTCCCAGAAATAAACCATGTGGAGAAAGACTAGCATAGATCTATTCACATAAATTTATTGTAAAACAATAGTAAATTTTAAGTTACCGATAAAGAAATCTTTTGGGTTCTCTTCCTGAACTACAGATTAGTCTTTACTCGTGAGCTTCCAGTGCTTTCTTTCTGTTTTACAAACTGGGTTTTTCTGAACCCTCCAAGGAGGTTCCTCCTGGAGACCATTCCTCAATATCAGAAAGGCCTTTTGAAATTCAGAATAAAGTACAGCTCTTCTGACTCTTATAATTTCACAGCTCCCGATGTTATCTCTTGTTGGTGCCCTCAGTAATTCCACTACTGTTTTACCACTTACTTGCTACAAAATATATGGCATCCCAGGGCCAGTTAAGGAAAACACTACTCACTACAATGGTGAGACAGTGTTTAATCAGAAAACTGCAAGTTTTGCATTTGCACCTTCCGTTCCAATCAGGACAAAATTTCACAGGTTTCAATTTTGTTCACCTACCCCTGCGCTTTCAGGGAGGTCTCCCACTGCCCAAACTTCCACGGCATCCAGTGTAAAATCCTCTTTAGCTGACAGCTGGGGACTGTTGTAGGTGGTACATCGAGGTTTTGCTTTACTGTGTCCCTTCCCATAGTCACCGTCTACCCAGAGTCCGAAGTAACCATGTTGTCCACCCATGCCCTGTGAACGAAAGCAGCACACTACACTCTTGCTGCACGTGTAAAACAAACCGGGCAAGTCATGAAATCTAGAGCATACATTTCTATTTTCAGTATTTTTGCACCATTTCTATGGGTAGGTGAAAGAGGATATTCTGAGTGAACCTGGGCTTCTGTACCAAAATACAGCATTTCTGAAGACAAACAAGAATTACCTGAGTGACACTGCCCTCCCTCTACCCTTTACACAATACCAGTATCTGCAAGCACTTCAGCTGTGTATTGTGCCAGAAATTTAGCTCACAGACTTTTGTTTATTGATTGACAGTTCCATTTTAAACAGGGTGAAGGTGCTCGGTTTTGCGGCCTCTTTTCTGCTTAGAAAAGTATCTGCAGAATCAAATAATGTAATTTGATGTTGTTTGCTTTCTTTAGAACAAATTTACTCCAAACTGCTGCAATTCCCAAAGTTACAGGCACACAAAGCTCTAAGGCACTTTTCAAAATAGGCACCGTGCTGTAGCGCTATGGAACCTCCTCTGCATCTCGAGAGCTCATTCGTGGCCTCAAAAGGAGCTTCTGCCACTGTAATGACACAACAGCAGCAGCCTCCATGCAACTCTTGTACTCTAATTCTGCTGGGCTTTCTCAGCCTTCCATCATTTAACAAGCAGTTAGGGTGGCAGTGAGAGCAGCTAGTGGAAGGATCCTCATTACATAGCCCAGCCAGCTTGTGCTGCCTCCACGACACAGTCAGTTCTTCCAGATAACAGGGAGGACTGCTAGAAGGGCTTCTGTGATAACCAAACTTGGCAAAAAGACTTCTTCCCAGAACCTCCGTAAATCTACCCTGCATAAAGTGGGTCAGATAAATTTCATCTTAGTTGATTCAGTACTTCAATACATATATGAACTGTAAAGAAAAGTCTAGACTTTGTCAGTACTGTAAGCGGTTCTCCATCGTTACCCATATCCACACTTTACACTGATGCTTTGATGCCAAAAAAAAAAAAAAAATCCTCCTACTAAGTGTGGCACAAACAGCACAGAGAAGGGATGAAAACTTCCTCAGAGTATAACAGGTGAAATAAACCTGCTCACAGTAACAGAAACAAAAAATACAAAACACTTCCAAACACCAGCCACAAATACAATTTCCAAACTGTCATTTCTTAATACTTACAAGTCCATTTGGCATTGTTTGTTGGCCGTGGTTCAAATACATGTAGTGGTCATTGTACCCTGTGTACGTGTATACAGCAAGAGAGGGGAAAACAGTAAACAGAAAGCATCTGTTGTCACCTGTGAACAGAAAAGTATTCCGAGTTCAGACAACTCGCCAAGGAATAGCTTGCCTAGAAATAGGACAGGAAAAAAAATATTGAAGTGCAGCTGAATAAATCAGACAGCAGCTGCAATCTCAGAAAGCCGATACCTATCTGTCAGCAAGATCTAGACCTATTGTTTAGTCTCAGTTAACTCTGTGCAGGGTCACAGAAACCAATGTGATTCTACGGCTGTGACTAAGGGCAGGGTCAGAGGCAAGACTAGTCCACTAGGATGTAAGGGTACCTCTATCCCAGGCTTGCATTGCATCAAAAACTGGCCAACTGCTAGCCCCTGACAAGCTGATACGAGTGCAGACACCCTCAGTTCTGACTATATTGATATACAGATCAGTTCAGGATCAATGATTTTCTTCTTAGAAGAAGAGTATCATTTTCATTATGCCCGGCTTGGTATTCACAGGGACCTGTGGTGTGGCTGTCTAGTATGTGACATGTTTTATTCTATCAGGAAAAAATACAAAGGAAGTGTCGTGTAATCAGTGTAACATAACATTACATTAACTGACTGAAGGGGTAATTACTAAATACTAATTAAGTATAGGAATTGAGTTTTTAATGTAGCAAAACTGAGGATTCCCAGCAGGACCCATTATCCAGAGTCCTATTTTTTTTTTCAGAAAGCCATCACAAAAGTCCTTTGCAAAGGGTTACAGAAACCCATCTCTTCTTCCCAGAGACTTCAAGGGAACAAAAAGTTTAGTTTGCCCAAAGGACCCTCTTGCTGCTGGTTTTTCAAAGGGGAACAAAGCCGGTGCACAAATGGCAACAGGAGGCTCAACGTGGTGTTTGGCTCAGCTGTTCTGAGATGGAAGATTGCCACCTGCTGGACCTCGTATTTAAACGCTAATTCATCGTCTATGTTCCATTTCCTTCATTTTCATTTCATTTTCAACCTATGCAGCTACAGGGGTTGATAGGTTTCACCGAAAAGAGAACTTGTTCCACAGTCAATTTTAAAAGTCTTATCAAATAACAGACAAACTATAAACATGAGTCAGTAATTTGCCTGACTGGGTACAAAGCAAGAATAACTTCACATGAATTTTCTGTTTTTCAAAAATTAGCATTATTTTTGCCACAGGAAAACACACTTGGAAGTATAAGAAACACCGCATGTCATGAAAGTAAAATGACAGTATCCATTAAGTGGACAGGATTCTTGTACGTGTACAGAACAGGCAATGTTTATCAGAGCCATGAGACATTAGAAAAAGAAAAGTGAGTTTTTACCTTGAAACTGTGGCTTCATCTCCCAGGAGTGAGATGCAAACCCACCAAAGATATAACCATCTAAGTCCTTTAAGATCACTATGCAAGGACCTTTCTTCACTATATGGGCACACAACTGTGAAAAGCTTTCTCCATGAAGCCTAGAAGAAAATAAAAGCTGCCACTTGTGCTGCAGCTCTGCAGGCAGATGGGAGTTGATGTATATAATGGATGGGATGTCCAAGAGACTGACAAGTCCTCTTCCTTTGATGCCTTTGCAGCCTGGAACCAGGTTGAGTATGTCTTTGGTTTGGTCTGGGAGAGAATGCAGAACATGGAGGCCTTGCCTGATAACAACACTGAGGAAAATTGAGATCTGTGGAACTCGGTACACCCAATCCTCAATGACACTTTTATCAAAACTTGTCTCCATCAGCTGAGGACCCACAGGTTTGGTTCCATCTAAATAATAAGACACAGAGGAACAGTCGTAAGTCTCTCAGTCTGGAAAATAATCAGTTGATTTTTAAGTGTAAACATATTATTCCATTATTTTAATGGACGTGAAACCTCATATGAAAGGAGCCAGTGACAGTAAAGTGCCAACTACCTTAAGCAGATGCATCCACAGGACTGAGAAACATTTGCCTGTGACATCCATTCGTTGGGCTGTCATGAGTAAGAAACACAGACTCCTAGTTACAACTTAGGAGATACTCTTTGCCATACAATAAACTCTACTATTGCAACAGTGCAAAGATAAGCCTGTGCTTTGTAAAAGGACATACAGTCACAAATACATGCACATGCATCTAAACGCCCGTCACCTGCAGCTCAGGCATTTGTAAAACAGACGTGTTCCATGACACTGTTTTGCATGTCCACTTAAACTGGGACTTCAAACTAAAGCTCTCCTGAGTTTAAGGGAGAAAGCTGGTAAGGTAAAATAAATAAAATTCCCAAGCCATTTGCAAAGCAGTAGGTTCGAAATACCAGTCTCCCCATTTAAATTCAAAGATGTAACCTGAAGAGAAAAATTCTTGTGAGATCAGTGATAACATGTGCTCTGTGCCAGTCTGGGATATACTACACCAGCGCTGCTTACCCGCAAGCTTCAATTCTGACAGCAGCTGAGAAGCCAGAGCCTTTACTCCACTTGCAGAATCCCTAGTATTCTCCAAATTCCAACCTTTCAATTCCTTCCTGTAGCTCAGTACATGGACTACAGACATGATCAGATCCTCTGTGAACTTAAAAGGTTAAACCATCACTATTTTGGCATTTCTCAAATAAAACTGCCAAGAGCTTCAAAGAACTTTCTGAAAATAAAGTCAAGCAGTACTGACGCTGCAATCCCAATGGCAGAAACATCTCTTCTCATGACGAGTCAGAAATAACAGAAATGCTATTTCAGTGTCATGGGTCTTGAAAAGTATCCTTTTTCAAGACATTTCATAAATGTTACTTCACAAAGCACCTCCATTAAAAAATATGGCATGAAAGAGAGAAGAGAGGTCCAAATTTTGCAGTGGTAGGAGCTGGTAGTGAATTCCTGTTTTGTGAGATCCCACTCTTCTACCTTGCAAGCTACATATTTGCTTCACACATCTGTCCTGCAACTAAAGCTCTAGAAAGCATTTTGCCCACTTTCCAGAAGCACCAGCCACACCACAACCCTTGCCAGTTCTTAAAATATATCCAGTTTCTGCACCCTGCAGGGTGAGCCTGCGAACTATCAGACAAAACAGGCAGTACGCTCCGCAAAATCCAGCCCCTGGTTCTCAAAGTAGGCAAGTCAGCATGGAAAAGCCCACAGCTGAAATGGTCACCCCCACAGAACCTGGTTTGCCTACGCTGCTTGTCCCAGATCAGCAAGTTACTGGTAAAGAGATTAAGAAAATACAAAAGTCAGGAATCCCTATTCCAAATCTTGTGCTCTAAAGATTACCTTCAAATTACCTAGTCCCTGCTCTCCTACTGTCCCCCCCAACATACATTTAACTGCCTGTTTACCTCTTGGATTTGTTTGCCCTTCACAGGCCCTTCTGCCTTGGAGATCATTCTCATTATTATGGTAATCTTCTCATCTGCATTCCCTTTTAAGAGGTTTGACATAAAAATTACAAACTGCTCCTTAGCAATCTGTTCACTCGGCCCAGATGATTTCCCAGTCAGGTCAATACTTTTCATTCCGTTGTATAACCGAACCGTCATTTGCTCTGGTAATGGCTCCCGCATATACGCCTACAGTGAGAAAAACAGCAATGAACGTATTTTACTACATATATTTACAAATAACTAATAGATTCCAGCTCATCTGTGCTGAGATACACTGCTATGAATGAAGGATTTCAATACCAAGTATCTACTATCAGCAACAAACTTTCGTCAAAGGACTAGTTTTTGAAGAGAAAAAAAATGTATCTCTATTTTTATAGTATCTCCTTTCCAATACCATTTAGTGATTTAAGTTCATACTGGTTTTCTACAAAGCCACGGACTTTGGAAAAAAAAAAATAAACACTGTAAAGTGTTAACAGGATATTAGCAAAGGATTTCTATATGATAAATCTGTTGTAAAGGTTTACAACTCTGCCAGCCTAACATTTAAAATCGTGTTTTAACTCTGCTTTTGATAGTGGTGCTCACAGATACTTAAAAACAAAGAGAAAGTAAAGGTTTTTCCCACATCTGTTTTGACCTCAGGACAATGCAAGCAATATGTTTAACCCTACATCCACACGTAGAAGCAATTCTGAGAAGTTTCCCTCTGCATAGCAACACTTAATTCAAGCATGGAACAAAACTGAGATCCCCTGAGTTTTTTATAAGGCATCCCTGATGTTAAGACAGTGGAAATCAAAACTTACTCCTCTAAATCGCATGACTGGCCCTTTGAATTGAAATCTAACTGGTTTACATCATCATACATCACAACACTGTGGGAAGGATCTGACTCTGGATTCAAGAAACTGGCACAGTGTTCAAGATAACTACACGGTTTAAAAATAAATCACCTAAAATACATCCATACACGAGGGCATGATTCAACAGTGTCTTTATGGCGCAAAGCACGGTGCATAACACGCTGAACACCTGACCTGACTCTTACATACCGGGGTGTAGCCCAGTGGGAACTATGCTGAAATCAATGGAGCTCCACCTGCATAACAGCACCCCAGCCCGACTCAGTGGAGCTGCTATCCCCAAACTACTGCTGGCTCAATACCACCCCTGTGGGAGCCACCGGGGCCGCTCCTGTTTGATGTTAATGGCTGTTGCTGTGCACGTAGGGCCAGAGCCAATACGCCAAGCGTTGCCCTGCTTTTGTTGACGTCAGCGGCGAAAGCCCCATTGATTTCCGTAGAAGCAGAACTAGCAGCCACAGTCTCGCCCATTAGAGTGCCTCACATTGAGGGAGGGATGGTCACGGGGGGTAAAGCTGTCTTTAAGAGGCTTTCTAAAAGTACTACATGAGCCTGAAGTGAGACAAGCAGCACGCAACATAATTAAAAACACCACACTCCAGGGCTTTTTACTTCACACTGCAGTACTACCTACCTACTGCCCACCCTTTCCCACCCACCACGAATTTTGTTGCACAGTTTCGTTATGCTTACAGCTATTCCAATCAGAAGACCCGGGGCGCAAAAAAGGAGGACTGCCAAAAGGGAATCTTTAATAAACATCTAACAAACTCACACCTCTGACAGCTTAGAATCCTTGTCTTAAATGGCTTCAAGAAAGCATCTACAGATACCTGCTTCCCAAGCTATGCTGTGCAGCCTGCTCTGGTCCAGAAGCCATGTAGTTTCCTTCTAGTGAAGCACTGAGCCCAAGCAGCGCGCATGAGGTTATGCTTAAGGCCTCATCCATGTTACCACACTGTTGCTAGATCAATTCTGCCACGTATCAATCTAGCTCAGGCGTGAGCACAGACACCTACAAGGCAGGTACGCCACTGCAATAGTCCTTGCACTAAGGAATCACGCACCTACAAGCAGTCTTTCAGAAGATTTTAAGTTGGCAAACAAAACGGCAGGAAGGGAAAAGACAAACATTCAACAATGTCACATTGATCGAGGGACAAAGCTAGAAAGAGAACTTCCAGGTCACAATCAAATAACAGACACCAAGGACCAGGTTCCTGGATGTATTAGGGCTGTGTGGTGGGTTGACCACGGCTGCACGCCAGGTGCCCACCAAACCCGCTCAGCTGGACAGGGGAGAAGGAATAGAATGAAAGGTTCACGGGTTGAGAGAAGCGCAGGGAGAGATCACTCAGCAATTACATCATGGGCAAAACAGACTCAACTTGGGGGAAATTAATTTAATTTATTACCAATCAAATCAGAGTAGCATAATGAGAAATAAAACCAAACCTTAAAAAACACCTTCCCCTCACCCCTCCGTTCTTGCCGGGCTTAACTTTACTCCCAATTTTCTTTAACTCTACTCCCAATTTTCTTTAACTCCTCCCCCACAGCAGCACAGAGGGACGGGGCATGGGGGCTGTGGTCAGTTCATCACACATTGTCTCTGCCGCTCCTTCCTCCTCAGGAGGAGGACTCCCCACTCTCTTCCCCTGCCCCAGCGTGGGGTCCCTCCCGCAGGAGACAGTCCTCCACGAACTGCTCCAACGTGAGTCCTTCCCATGGGCTGCAGTTCTTCATGAACTGCTCCAGCGTGGGTCCCTTCCACGGGGTGCA